ACTTATATATTGCTTATGTATTGTCTGTGAATTGGTACTAACGTTTCATTTGGCTACTGCATAGCGATGCCGTCGTATGTCGTGTACAAGGGTAAGGTTCCCGGAGTCTACGACGACTGGGAGGAGTGTCGGAGACAGGTTCACCGATTCAGCGGTAACAGTTACAAAGGGTACACCACTAGGGCCGAGGCCGAATCTAGATACGTCCGCTATCTAGCGGGAGAGGGGAGGGAGCGTTGGAGGAACCGGATGAAGACGAGTTTCATCGTGATGATGCTCATCGTGATGACCGCAACTCTCTTCTATGTGATGGTAGTTTAGATGATCGATATCGACTTGTAATGTGAAGACAAACTCGCTACTCGCGGTCTCGAGACTTGTAATATAATGTTCTATCTTTGTTCGGTCTTTTCAATTCGGAGACTAATATGATGAATTGTATTCGGAGACTAATATGATGAATTGTATTCAGAGACTAATCTTCTATTGCATTCGATGAATCTGTTGTTGATGTGTGCTGTCCATATTTTGTCCAATTATACATTTTGTAACCTGTGCAAAAAACAGAAAATTAAAAAATAAAAAAACCCTAATATTCATACTAATGGCGCATCACATCACAGTGCGCCATTAGTATGCCAAAGGATACTAATGGCGCATCATTAAACAGTGCACCATTAGTATGCGAAGTTACTAATGGTGCATCTTGTTGTTGTGCACCATTAGTATGCCAAAGCACCTGGGTATACATGGCCCCCTGGGAGGCATACTAATGGCGCACTGTTGTATATACTAATGGCACATATGAGGTGCGCCATTAGTATACCAGATACTAATGGCGCACCAGTGGTGCGCCATTAGTAAAATATACTAATGGCGTGGCACTAATAGCGCACCTCTAATGCGCCATTAATGGCCAAATTAGGTGCGCCATTAGTAGGCCTTTTCCTAGTAGTGTATCCAAAAAAACATATTGATATTTGTTACACATGAGATGACCACCCCATAAGTTGTGAAATAAACTACTCTAGATCAATGCATTTTGGTTAGCCGTGCAACGCACGAGCATCTTACTAGTTTGATAAAAAAACCGAGTTGGTGATGATGGTGTGCCTGCCATGTTGTAATATAGACCGTCGGATCTATATCTGACGGATAGAAAGCAAATTATGGCAATTTTGCAAAAAGATACCCGCACCTCTCTCCACATTTGCAGATAAGGCCTTCCCTCGTTCATCCTTATCTCCCACAACCTCATTGTTGAGCAATTAAAAAAAGAAGCCTTTGGAATAATCTGGCATGGTGGCCGCTGCCGGCGTCGTCCATCCCCATGCCTCCGCTCAGTCCGACCATCAATCACCACCACGCCCCACTCCTCCTCACCTTATCTCTCCTCTTTCTCGAGATATCATTAGTTTTTACACATGGGATTACTCCCGCATGGGTCAATCACAACAGGTGTTTTGTAAAAAAAAAGTGCATCTTGATGTTCCGTGCAATGCACGGGCATCTTGCTAGTGGTACTAAACTTTCCACACTTCCCACCACTTGCGGTACACATGCATGGGCCTTTGAGATTAATCAGGGATTATTGTCTTATATGGGCCTAAGCCCATCCATAATCTAATAGAATAAAAGCAGAATGTAGATTTGCAGTCAGCCACAACAATGTGCAACATTGGCTACAACGAGCTTTGTCACACGATGCGGTGGGTCATGCATTGAGTATATGTATCCATAGCTAGTTATGAGCGAGCATTTTTTGAGATTATATATCCATCAGTTGGATATAAGCAATGCTCTTATTTGTTGATAAACATGGTCAAACCATGTTTGACCAGGGAGGGAGTATTTGTGTCATTTAATTTCCTAGTTGTTACACCGAAATAGGTGTATTAGTCATGTTGGAATGAATGAACATGTGGATTCTAATTCAGGCATGTTAGAATGAATAAACATGTGGATTCTAATTAACATTGGTTGTTTTGTAAGCTTTTTTTCTTTTCGAAAAGGAGGTTGAAACCCAGGCCTTTGTATCACTGCAATGCACACAACCATGCGTCGTCATAAGTTCATTTTGTCAGTAAACATCAATCATGAGCTTGCATAGATATACTTGCAGTTGCAGACTCCTAAGTGTGTATACACCAGATAGACACTAGCTAGTACCAGGCCAGTAGCTAGAATTGTGCAGGTAACTATTAGTGGGCGGCGTGAGGTGGTGATACTTTGCCCTAGAAAAGAAGCTGCGGTGTCATAGTACTACTGCCGCGGTAAAAGGCGTGCGTGGGTACATCTGCATTTAAATAGCATCCATTCTGCAACTGGAAAACACGCCTGTGCTCTCTGCAATGTGTAAAACCAGCCATTTGAAGCAAGTTGCACCCTCCACATCGGAAAGCAGCACTGGCAATAAGACTCGGACCTAACTCGTAAGTGGATCATGCATGGAAGTAGCATGCCTGGTGAAAGTGCGTTCAGAAAGCAGGGAGCTGAGCTGAGATGAAAATGAAGAAGAGCGCACAGCACAGTACGTGGTACACTTGCATATATGCTCTCCGGCCTACCTGCTTCACCTCTTTCCCATAAATAAGGAGGTGCAAAGAGCTGCAAGTTTAGGTAGAGATTGCTATAAACGGGTTGAAAGGCGAGGCCCCGGACATCCCCAACCATATATATGTGCAACATAGGCGAAAGAGATATGTGTGTGCTCTCTGAAAGGAAGCGATCGCACCACCATTAATGGGATGCGGCAGCTATAGGTTCCATGCAACCAACAATGGCCTACCATTGCGCCAACACTCCTTGAAATGGCATGGAGTGAGGCAAGGACAGCATGCAGACAAAGCACAAGCGATAGCATACAAGTAGTAGCAGAGAGGAAAACTACTACTAGTACTACCTAGACGTGGGGAAATAAGATAGTTACAAATCATCAACTAGAGTACTACCTTTTCTTGTGGGGATCAATAAAGCTAGTAGTACATTATGGAGTGTTAGCGCAATATTTAATACTGTAGCATTTTTTTTAGAATTAATATAATGCAATTTAGATTATTAAGCATCCATTTCCAGTAGTTCTAGTTTAGTAAGCATGCTTTTTTTAGAATTAATATATATTTTTCCATTGTCGAAAAAGAACATTACTCCCTCCGAACCGTCATATGTGTCATGGTTTTAGTTCAAATTTATCATTTAGGATGTGGTGCAGCTATGGTGTAAAACATGGCAACAATAGCATATGCATGCATATACTTACCCTCACCCACTGACCCAGATATCCTTAGCTCTTAGGTACTACTACTAGTACTATCAAGGAGATAACAACAATACTAGTACTAGCAGTAACTCTTTTGCATATGGTTTGCACAGAACTATATTGAGTAGGCCACCGGATAGTTTGCTTGTTTAATAAAGTAGCCAGTGCTCGAACAAGGCAGTCAAGCAATATTCCTTCCACGCCCTCATCCCTAGGAGAATGTTTTTGGGGCCCTTCCAAGTTCTCCCAAGCCCCAAGATACGGCTGCTGGCATGCATGCATGTGACCAGTTTGTGTGACATCCCAGTAAACTAATGAAGGTGATTATACTCTGCAGTCCATGCATGCATGCAGTACAAGGAAATGACACCAAAATCGGTGCAAGAGATGAATCATTAGGTGACAACTTTTTGGTTTGGGCAGGTGAACCGGGGGCTTGTGAATGCCTAACTAGAAACAAAAGCAAATGAGTGAAAAGTTGCTGCATTCTTACCCACTTGACATGAGATAAAGAGGATGGAGGGGGCAGAGATGCAAGGAGCACGATGGTGGGAGAGGGGATAGCATGGCAGTGTACCTTTAGGTTTACAAATATAATTATAGATGGATGGTACAAATGGCCTGCTCAAGGACCTACAGATGGCCATCATATGATATAATAATACCATGTGAGGAGAGAGAAGCAAGTTAAGTTTCTATCTTTCTTTCTTTCAGGGAGTGGGATGTTTGTCATACGTACTTATTCTCTTGCGCCCATGCCCTCCACTTCTCCTAGCTACCCCCCTCGCTAGTGCTTTTCATGGCTGGAAGATTCTTGGCTCCGGGGCGATGGTGGCGAGACATGACATCTCAGAGCTTTGCCTGCTAGTACAAGAAAAAGGAAGGCAGGGAGAGGTGACAGATAGAAAGACAAGCTTATAAAAATCAGGCAGCAAGATGTACACCAATATAATCAGTTCAACTGGAAATGACACTAAAGGACACATATTACTACATGCTCTAAATACCTCTTCTGATCAACTTTGGATGAGCCTATATATGCATAAATCAACAAGCACAATAATGAAGAGGAATTTGTAATTGTATATGAAAACCAAGATGATGGTACTTGTACTCATTGTATGTAACATAAGTAACAAATAATATAAGTACAAAGTTACATGCTACCACTACAAACTTGGAAGCCATCGGTCCCCAAACGATCTGCATCTACAAAGCTGGAACACCGTGCATGCATGCAGTGCATTGTTGTTACCACCAAACACACTGTAGCTCGGTCCTCTCCCCACTCCTACAGGTCTCCTAAAGTTGGCCCTGCAAACCAGAGAAACCGCACCACCACATGCGCCATGTACGTACTGGATAGGTGGTATGTACCGAGGCCTAGCTAGCTAACTCCAAGCCAGCCTAAAAATAAGCTTCACATGGGCTAGCATATGGTAGCATCCATGGCACCGATCAACAGAGATTAAAATGCTGTATACTCTGATAGTCTGATGTGTTAGAGCTAGCTAGCCCCCAAGTCGATCACCAAACACAAATAAACGGCTAGAGCACAATTCCAAGGAAGAAGAAGAAGAAGAACAAGAACACCAGAAAGAAAGAAAGAAAGAAAGATATCAAACACCATATCCACCATCTTATTAAACCTTTGTGCCCTATCTCCAGCTGCAGCTTGGAAGCGCATGCATGCACGCACAGCCGACGATGAACTATGCATGCATGGGCGCCGCCGTCCACGTTACCAGGTGCCGCCGCCGCCGATCATGCCGTTCCAGAACCCCGGCGTGTCGGGCTGCCCAACGGGGGTGCCGTTGCCTTGTTGCTCCTTGTTGCCTTGCTCGAACTGATGGTCGCCGCCATCCACGCCTGCGCCAGAACCACCACCGCTCTCACCGCCACCGGCGCCAGAGTTTGCCGTCGGCTTCAAGTCCTCGAACGCGAACAGCAACCTGCCCGACCTGTCCTGCATCCCTTGCATCCCGGCACCGGAGCCGTACCCCGCCATGGAAGCCCCGCCCACCGAACCGTGCGCGTCCAGCGAGAAGCCTAGCAAGCTCTGCGACTGCGGTGGCGCCGGCGCGCGGAACTCCCCGAGCGAGAACCCCGCGGCGCCGTACTCCCCGGGCATCTGCATCGGCATCTGCAGCGGCATATAGCAGCCGGTGCTCCGGAGCAGCTCCATCGCGGAGAGCGCGCCACCGGCACGGGCGCCATTGGCCGCCATTCCGCCGCCGCCCGGGTTGCACATGCTGCTGCTCTCCAGGCTCGGGAACGCCATGTAGTCCGCCTGCGCCTGCATCCCGCCTTGGTGGTGCGGGAACGCGAGGTTCAGGTCGTGCGCTGCGCCCTCGTGCGCCAGCTTCGGGTTCTTGTTCGGCGCCGCCCCGAGCATGGACGAGTTCGCGACGGACGCAGTCGCCGAGGCAGCCGCTGAGGCGCTCGCTGACGCGGACGACGACGAAGAGCGCTTGTTCTTGCGGGAGCCGCCGCCGACGGGGACGTTGCGCAGCGACCCGCCTTCCGTCCAGTACCGGCGGCACGTCTTGCAGAAGTAGCGCGGCTGCTGGAGGCTGTAGTTGTTGTAGTAGCAGAACTTGGTGTTGGTGGAGTTGCACCGGGGACAGTTGATCGCCTTCTCCTTCTGCGGCCGCGGCCGCCGCTCCGTGCTACCCGCTCCAACCCCGGAGGCTGCCACTGCCATGGCCGGCGTCCCGCCCCTCATGGGGCCTCCAGCCCCAGGCGCCGACGACGGGGCCTGCGCCGGTGGATTCGGATTTGAGCCTTGCACCTGCTGGTTCGAGCTTGGTGCTCCCATCAGCATCTCCTCCATTGGCTTCACCAGCCCTAGCCCCTGAGGACACAGACACACACATAGTGCAGCACTTGATCAGTCAGAAGTTGAGAACAAACGATGATCAACACAAGCCCACTACATGCCAAGCTAGCTAACACCTAGAGCAAGCAAGAACACAGTGAAGAAAGATAACATGTGGTGAGCGAGCATGCAGCGGTCAGGGGGGAGGCTGTGGGGGGTGGGGGCGTCAAGAATCTCTACGGTGCAACTAAGAACCAAGCAAAAGGATACAAAGGGAGATTAGAGGCAGCTAGCAGAGAAAGGCAAAGGAAAAGGTGATAAGGGCCGGGGAAGAAGAAAGGATGAAAGAGAAACACACCACCACACACAAAAAACACAACTTTGCTTGTGCTGTTGTAGGGTTGTGGTACTGCCACACATCACCAGGACATGGCTGCTGCTCTCCTCTTTTGATGCGAGGCAACAAGGAGAGAGAAGAAAAGCTATGAGAAAGGAAGGGGGAGGTGAGGTGAGGAGGGGATAAAAAGGATGATGGTGAGGAAAGGGAGATTAGAAAGAGGGGAAAAGAAAGGTGATGGTGCGTGCTTTCATGGATCAAAAGGGGAGGAGGGCAGCAGAGAGAGGATTAAAGCCGCAGGCCGGGGGCTCACCTTCACCTTCACCTTAAAGCCTATGGAGAAGGGAGAGGGGTGCTGATTGTGTTGCAGATGCATAGATCTACACAAAGCATAACATATAAAGGAAGAACACGACCCAAGAGGACATCCACACAGAAGGAGATCATGCTCCCATCAGAGAAAGCGCGCGCACACCAAGAACCATGTCACAGAGAGGAGGATGAACAGGCCGCGGCGAGATCAAGGAGAAGAGAAGCCAAATTCTCACAAGGAGATTTACCTGGGGCCAGTGGGCTGCATCCATGCGAAGGCTCCAATCGCCAGGCTACCTCCCAAACAATTCTTTCCCCAGAAATCTGAATACCAGGAGGAGGACGACGGCCGGAAGACGAAGAGGAGCTCCTGCGGCTTGCTGAGCTGCTTCTGGTAGATTTCTTGAGCGGATGGAGGGGAGAGAGAGGAGGAAGGCGCTGTGGTTGGGCAGTGAGTGGAATTGTCCCTCCTATGTCCGCTCTTCCCACATACGTTTTGCTCAAATAGCTAGGCCAGTAGTGGATTCCCTCCCCCTTCTTTTTTAATATTTCCGTATGCCTCTCACAGCTACTCCAGCTGCCAGAAGCTCGGTGAGGG